TTTCTTGACTTGCTCAACAATAATTTCTTTAGCAACTTTTCCAATGGAGGATATTTCATCTGATTCTTCAGTCTTGCTTCTCCCTAAATATTCATTAATGATTTGAGAATAGAATTTCACATAACAACTCTTACAAACACCTTTTTAAATTATTTGCTTCCTTCAATATTACATTTATTAGATATGTTGACAATGAACTTCATGGAAAATTTCTTATAACGAAGACCAATGTATGACACAGTCTTCATTAGTCTAGCATCCTTCATCAAATCCATGACCTTTTGACAATCAAGATCTTCTTTTCAAGCTCTTTCTTAGGAGCAATTCTTTTTTGAAATACATATTTCCCCTTACGCACACTTGCTTCTGATTGGAATGATTCATTATTCAAGGGGGCAACTGAAATATTAATAGAAGTTTCATATCACTTTGAACCTCAGCCTCTACGTGATGAGGTTCCATATCACTCCAATCTTTAGAGGAAGTATCATCCAAACAAGTGTCAAACACAAGAATATCTATAGCTGGTTCAGTAGGGGTTCAACCTGTAGGTCAATAGATATTGGAATAGTTGTTTTAACATTCGTTTAATAAGTGGATCAATATGTGCTTCAACATGTTGTTTCACCTCAGTTATTGTAAAATCGAGGTATAATTCCTGGAAGGGCCCTGTTTTTCTTTATAAAAAATATAGGGTTAAATATACAACACCCATAAAAATATAGACGAGTTTCGATTTATCCCCTTATAATATTTTTTTTGGATTCCCCCCTGTAATATACATTTTTTTGTTTTACCCCCCTAAGCGTGCATTTTGAACACTAAATCTAGGGAGTAAACCAAAAAAAATATTTTACAGGGGGGTAACTTTGACGCTTAAGGGACAAAAGACATAGATTTTCAACATTTCAATGGGGGATCCAAAAATTTTTTTACAGGTGTCACACCTTCCTTTTCACCCTAAACTTTAACCTCCATATCATTATTATTTGCATTGACATTTTGCACCTAGCATTGGTTTTAGACAAAGATCAAGGTATCTTATCCAATAATCAAGAGAAAGGATTCATCTTTAAAGCTCAATCAAGAGCTCAAGCTCAACTTTATGGAAATATCAAGTTACAAAGTCTTCATCATCATCAAGGCATGTCACTCCACCATTTAAATCAAGAATGCAAGCAGTGATTCTTCTCAACAAAAGTCAATTGTGATTCAATTAGGTTAAGATCTTGAATTTCAAAGCCAATAAAGGGGATGATACTTATTTTCAAATGATTTCATGAGTTTGGAACCAGAAGAATCAAAGAGAAACATAAAATCAAGAGTTTGACTAAATTAGGGTTTTGATAGAAATTTTTCTAAGTGTGAAAAACCCTAATTCTAGCCATCTTGTAACTTCCATAACTTTCTCATTTTTGATCCAATGAAGGAAAACTAGCTATCAAATTGAAGAATACATCATGAACTACAAGTTTTTGGAAGAAAGAATGTCCAAACTATTCATGGTTTAGGAGATATGATGAGTCAAAGTTGGGAAAAAGGAGATTATGACATTTCTACACTTATAAAATTTTCTAAGTATAGAAATTCAGCTTGAAATACCTACTTTCAACCCCATTTTCCATGGTGATACAACCTTCATTTGAATTTTCCAACAAATTGAAATTTGTAGAGCATCCTCTAAGCTTTCATTTGAGTACTAGATAATCTCCATTGAATGTGTAGAGCTCAAGTTATGATGCTCCGAACTTAGGGTTTCAAAGTTGTGAAAAGTGATAAGTGGTTAGACAGATTTTTCAACCCAACTTCCAAGACATTTTTCACCGAGTTCTTGACTTCAATTGAGTTGTCCCACAACATGAAAGTTGAAGATTGTTCTTCAAGCTTTCTATCCATTACAAGAACACCTCCATTGGATCAAAACGCCTTAACTTATATGGATTCAAAGATGGGATGTCAAAGTTGCCAAAGGTTCATAACTTAGAATTTTTCTAAGTTACTTTGGACATATTTGGGGACATGTTTTCCAACCTTTTGTTCATGGTCTTCCAAGCTTTATCTCAATGTGACTTGAACATAAGTTTTGATCACCATTCTTCCTACTTCACGTTGATCACAAGAACTCTTATTTAGCATCCAAAATCATCAAGATAGGACCAAGGAAAGTGTGGTGTTTGAAAATGATTCCAAGGACCCAACTTGCCATGATTCTTTGACATGAATTTCATTTGGTCTTGCAGCATTTATTTTTACCTCATTCCATGTGCACCAAGCCTCATTTTTTTGTCACAAACCTTACTACAAAAGAGCCAACAAGCCATGTACTACATGCCTTCATTTTTTAATTATCTTTCTCAAAGAAGAAAGGACACATTGTGCATGAAGCTCGCCCTCCATTCACTCTGTCATATGCTTTTCATAACACATTCTTGTAGCCATCAAAAGGACAACAAATACGACCAAAACCACCTCACCATGGTACCAAACCCGAGTGGCTCTAACCATTCTCAAACCCTCATATATAAGTTAAAAAAAGCAAACCCTAGAGGAGGGGGATCATTACTCAGCAGCCAGAACACAAAATTTCCCTCTCTCATTTCCCAATCTCTCCTTTTCTTTGAATCTGGTTCTCTGAGGCTTGTTTCTATGCTCTTTAGTGCCTATCATCAACTATAAAGCCCAAGAAGGAAGAAGGAACAAGTTGGCGAGGTGTTGAAGCTCAAAATAGAGACTGTAGAGCTTCAGTTTAGGTATCTTTTTCTTCAACTTATTTCTCTAATTTTACACGTTCAATTGCTTTGCGGTTTGCATATTTGATCTTATGGGTGGATGTAGACCATGCTTGTGTTAGTTTTGTGCTTGTATATTGACATTTTAGTTTATGCATCTTTCATTCATGCTCAGTTTTTGTGGTGTTAGAGTGGATATAAATTATTATTAACTTAAGATTTGGATTCTATCTGAAAAATCCTTAAGATTGGTGTCTTATTTTGTTTGTTTTGATGTGGTTTTCTTTCTGCTCTGGTGAGGTCGACCGAATAAGACGACCGGAGCCCTAGCTCTGGCGTCTACGTGTGTGAGATGTGCTGACTCTTTGACCCGCGTACTTGGAAGCCACATGGCGCTGACTCTTTGACCCGCGTACTTGGAAGCCATGTGGAGCCACATGGCGCTGACTGGATTATAATTGTAAAATGCATAATCGTGTTTAAATTTGTCAATTTGAAATATTAATCTTATTTAAATGTTATTGAGCACACTCGGAATTAAAAAATAATAATATTAAATCATACAATAGTGAAACATAAATAATAAGACAAATGATAAATGTTTGTTTTCTCACTAAAATTAAAAACCTGCACACAAGAAAGCTACATGACTATCAATTTTATTTTCTACCTTCAATGTATTTGAACTGTTGTTATGTAGTTATCTTTATATTTTCTTCTTCCTTATTTATTTCAAACTTTATTCGGAATAAAATCTAACATCCACTCGTATGTTATCAAGTAGTCATTTCAAGATAAGAAGCTCATTTGTGACAAACACATGCCTCAATTTTTGGTGATGCATCGTATGCTAATTGGATAATATCCATGTGTTACACGAGTCTACTACACAATAACGTACGTTAATTTTGATATTTTATACTTATTTTTATTTATTTTTATCTTTTTAAATTTATAGTTTATAAATTTGTTAGAAAGATTTTAAAGTTTCGTATTAATTTTAAATAAAGCATTGAAATAGTTTATATAAAGATACACCTCTCACCTTATCAACTGATTTTGTAGGGTTGTGTTAGTCCAACCTCTAATAAAATTGTTGTTATTATTCTGATTTAAAGATATCTGACTGCAAATTTAAGATATAAAAATTATTTATTTTTTTCTCACACAAATTAATTTATTTTTTAAATGTAATGCATCAGTAAAAAAATTGAAATGAAGTTTTTTTAGGTGAAAAGGAATATTAATTAGTTAAAAAAAATTTTAAAAGTTTCTTTTAGTGAATGAATCATAAATTTGTTAATTTTCCTTATTTTTTTTCACTTGAGATCAATTTTATTTTTGTTTTATAAATTTGTTAGGTGGTAATATTGGGTGTGTGGTTGGAATATCAAATAATAAAAATTAAAAGTCTATTATAACAAGTCATTATCTGAAAATTTTTAATTAAATATTATCAATGCCAACTTACGAATCTCTTGGTTCTATATTATCTTTACAGAAATGTATTGTCATTCTAATATTTTCAATATTTTAAACCTTTTTATTCTTGAATTGATATTTATTTAAAAGACAATTTTCTATAAAATAAAAACATTAAATATAATCACAAATTGATATTGATAAGATTAAAATAAAATAATCTAATAGTCTAATTGTTCGTCTCAATGTCGAATATCATGTCTTAGTTTTATATATAAATTTTTTTTTCCAAATATTTATTCATTCATAAATAATGTTGATAAAAAACTATTGATTAAAAATAATGATATCATAGGAAGGACATTTTATAATTCACTTAATTATATAAATAATTTTTTTTCAAATATTTATTCATCCATAAATAATGTTGATAAAAACTATTGATTAAAATAATGATATCATAGGAAGGACATTTTATAAGAATTAATTATTTTCAAGAATAAAAGAATTGAGTTTGAAAATAATTGAAATTTATATGTAATATATAACAAACAATCCGACGGTTCTAAAATTGCTACAAATCAGCTGTTGAGAATTTCGCACATGAGGATTTGTATATGTGAGAATCTACTGATGTCTATTTTATACATGCTAATGTTTCACACTTGAGGATAAATGCAAGTCAATAAAAAAGGCAAGTAAATATCAAGTGGTAAATTTCATTTTTTAGAAAATATTAAAAATATGTACACACGAATTGTTTTCATCTATAAAAAGAGGAGATAGAGATTTCAAACTCATCTCTAAAAATTATGACTCTTAACTAGTTACATTACATCCTTTCCTTTTATGATGATGACCACTATGATTTCAGTAATATCAATCATTTTGATTCATACTTTGTTTTATGTTGGATTTTCGGATGATCTACCACATACCACCACATTTCCACAATCACCAACATCATTCCTCCCAGATTTTCCCTTATACGATCAAATATCCAATTCATATTCTTCACCTAACCCTCTAGAAGAAAGTAAGAGAAGGTCACCACCACCTAGGAAAAGATCTCCACCACCACCGAGAAGATCTCCACCACCACCGCCTAGGAGAAGATCTCCTCCACCACCACCACCTAGAATAAGATCTCCACCACCTCCTCGTCCATCGCCACCACCACCACCATCTCTTTTATTTGATCATTTTAAATTGTCTCAAACATGGCCGCCAACATACTGCAAGCTTAAAAATAATGATTGTATCTCTCCATTGCCACAAAAATTTACAATTCATGGGTTGTGGCCAAGTAAAGAAGGCTTCGAGATACGAGACTGCAGAAAAGATAACATAAATGTGAACGATGTAAGTTATACATGATTTGATTACAATTGTTTTAATTTTAATTTCTTTTACCATGTTATAAAAAAGTAAATTTTATTTGTTTTCTCTTAATAGTTTGCTACAATAAAGACAAGACTTAGTGAAGATTGGCCGGCGTTATTTAAAAAGAAATATCAAGAAGATGCTAACATTCAATTCTGGATTAATCAATGGAATGCTCACGGAACTTGTTCAGATGAGTTGTTCAAATTTATTTCTTATTTTGAAGAGACATTAAAAGTTTATGATAGAAATAGTATAAAAGATATCCTTGAAAAGAATGGTACTAAACCGGGTGGAATATATGCCAAACAAAACATTCTCAATGCAATACATACACACACTCAATTTCAGCCCCAAATTCGATGTGAGCGGATTGGTAATTTGGATTATTTATATGAAATAAGACTCTGTTTGACACCTACTCTAAAACTAGAGTATAAAGATTGTGAAATTCCTTATAGTGGTTGTCTCAATAATGAAGTGTATTTCTAATAAATTATAATATTATTTAATGGACATTTGCTCTTGATGCTTTGGATGTTTGGCGGCCAACCAAAGGTTCGTGGGAGCGTGAAGTTTATCCTTGATTTTAGTTTTCTATAATTCAGTTTAGCGCTTTTCTTTTGTACTGTTTTTGTTATGTTGGGAGTTGTTTTAGTTCTAAATACCGTATTTATTATAGTTGTGTTTCTATTGTATTGTTTGTACTTTTTATATTTTCCTCTTTCCCATGTCTTGTTTGTACTCTTTTATTTTCCTCTTTCACATGTTGTGTTAAGAGGAATTTATATGAATAAAATGTGATATTTGTTAAAAAATATATAATTTTTCTATTTTACTTTATGTTTAATTTTAGTAAAAGATTATAATTTTATTAATATATTCAATCTAAATCTATATAAGAACTTAATAGAACCAAAATGGTTGCATCCTTTTGTGTATAAAGTAAATTAAATACAAATTCTTACATACGCATGGTATTGTGGAGATTCAACAATTTCATTGAATGAGATGTTATTTGTTTGGAGACTATTATACATTTTACCTTATTGAAGCCATGTTGTCAATGATTTTTAAAATTTTTAAAAAGCACCAAAATGCATTGTAAAAACTCAATTTACTTTTGTAGTAACGAATACTCTTCACTTTATGTGTTTTTTCCAAACATCTTTCGATCAAAATTCATGCTGCAGCAGCCGCAATGCGCATCACAGTAACTTCAATGACCAAAATCGCAACACCCCAACCAAACCGCATGTGCGATATCAGGCACGATTTAGAACCGTGTTGAAGACTATTGCTCCCAGAAGAATATGGAGTAAGAGAGATGTATGAAGAGTTCCAAAGATATGGGAACATTGATGAAATAGTAATTCCATATAAACGAAATAGGTAAATTTTGTAATATTTTTTGATGTCATAGTGAAGAGACGTGGACCATTAAGTTGGACAATATGTTAATCGGTAGGGCAAAGATTTTTGCAAACCTTCCCTGGTTTCAAAGAAGGCATTAGCTAGCTGAGGAAGAACATGTAAGGAACATGGTGAGGAAAAAGACACCAATGCAACATACTGTAAAGCCCAAGTTTATTAAAGATTCATCTAAGTCAGTGGGAGGAATCTCTTATGCTCAAGTTCTAAGATCTAAGTTGGACCTTCAAATCTAGATAAGAAAAAAAGTGTTATCTTCAACCTAAAAGAAAAAGACTTCAACATATTCAAAAAAGTGCATGTTAGTTTGGTAGTAAAAATAGGATCGTCATACATTATGAAAGAAGTGTTTAAGACGGAAGGTTATTTCTTATTTCAAGTCATAACGCTTAGTTACAACATATGCTTGTTGTAATAGAGAATGAAAGGTGAGTTGGATGCTTTGCTGAAGAAGGGAAATGTATGACTCAAAAATTGGTTCTTAGAGGTGACATCGTGGAAACCAGTTGATGATGAAAGAATCATGTGGTTGTGATGTTATGGTATCCTGTAAGGCTTGGAAATCTTAGTTTTCCAAAAATCCAGTAGCATTTGTGGGGGATGTCCTTTGTGCATAGGATAACACAAGGAGAGTAATTAAGCTCGATGTGACGCGTATATTTGTAAAAACCAAGATCACATCAATGATTTCTAAAGAAGTTGAAGCCCAAAGAAATGAAATTTCCTTCACTGTCAAAATAGTGAAAGATGGCAGGGACCTCTGAGAACTCATTTAGATGAATGATTTGATTCAGACTTGGAAGAATCTAGGAGTGAAGAGTATAAGAAATCTCAAAAACTTTGGGAGGAGGATAAAAATGAAGTACCATATGAGGAGCTTGGAGATGTGGGGCTTGTGGCGGAGATGATGAAAGGTGGTTCCCTAGAAAATAGCAAATCTTTGGAAATTTTGGATGTTGGCAAGTCCTCAAACAAGTTCTCAAATCAAGAGGTGGCGATTTCCAATAGGAAACCTGATAATAATAGGTTATAACTTGGTCAGGGATTTTTAGATAAGGTGGAAAAGTTTCAAGAAGATGCGTCTAATCAAGATAAACCTATGCCATTTTTTCCTAGACCTGATCACTTATCCAAAGTCAAAGTCCCTTGGGAAGCCACTATCAAGTGACATAACTAAACCTTTTGGGAACTCTCCTTTGTACAAATTAGATCAATATAGCCCCATTATAGTTGGATCTTAAAATGGCTTGGGCCTCCAAAATATTTTTATTGGGCCTTCTAGTTTTACCGCATTGGTGGTCCAACCAAAGTAAAAGTGTAAGTTATTAGGGGATTTGCGAAGAAGGTTCCCGAGTCTCCTATTAAGATTCCTTTGAAACCTAACTCCCTTTCTTACGCTACGACCTCATATTACACTTCTCTTATCTCTCCTAAACCAGAAAACCTATATATTCTTCTTTGACACATTTCCATTCACCATCCCTACTAGTAAACAAATTCTCAAAGGGGTCAGCCCTTCGTAGTGAATCTACATGTGATATTGAAAAGCTTTGGAGCTTGGAATAAGTTATTTCAAGATCTGTGAAATGAATTTAGTTTCTTATAATATAAGAGGGGGTGGAAATATTTCAACACAAAAGTCTATCTGAAAGTTTATTGAATTAGAAAAATTAGATATTTGCATGTTGCAAGAAAAGTAATGGAAAGTAATAAAGGATGTCATGGTCCATTTGTTATGGGTAAGTAAAGAGGTTATGTTGTCTTTCAAGACTACAATTGGTAGGGCTGGAGGTATTTCATTGATCCTGACTTTCTGAGTCTAACCGAACTAACTGTAAGTGCACAGTCTATCGCGTCATAATAAAGATATCGATCCCACAGGGACTCGTAATCAAACTAGTGTTCTCAGACGTTACTTTGTTTAGCTAGGTTGGAAATGGTTTAAGGGTAAAGATGGAAAAGTAAAGGCTAAATTAAAGAAAGGCTAAAAGGTTTCTTAGAATATTAATACGGGGAATCGGTATGCAGTGACTTAGTTCTTCGAGGATTCGATAAGTTACGGCGTGGTTTAATAATTTCAAAATGGTTTTCAGAAGAAAATAACGGTTTAAAGACCTTTGTCTCACGTTGGTTGTTGACGCTAGTCATAACTCTAAGGCAGAACGTATGCTTTCGCTATCCCGTTCGGTGTTAAAACTGATTTTTGAAAACCATAGAGTTTTAATCTCTTTTAAAGTGCTTTCGATGTATTTAAAATAGATGCCTAGTTTTTACTATCTGGTCCTAGCCTCGGCTTTCGCATGTCGGTTCATACCTTAGTGAATCTCCCACTGTCGTGGCGAGATTTCTTTAAACAAATTCTCGTTGTCGCGACGAAGTTTAGTTTAACAAATTTGATTAAAAACTATGCCAGAAACAAGTTTGAAAAAGTGGAAATACGCCGGTTATTATCAAATCTCGTCCTACTAATTCATTACATACCGATCGATGCGGTTTAGCTAGACATGAATCTTAAAGAAAGCATAATTGAATTAAAATAACAGAACATGTAAACATACATTATAAAGCAAATGGAAATAATTAATAATAATGGAACCTGTAAACAATTCTGGTTCAACACTTGGATAATCCCCCACAATGTCGGCAGGATTACTCTAGTGACGATTAACGTATGGAAAACTTAAGGAACAAAATTACAACTGAACTCTTGAAAGAAAATAAAGGAAAAACAAAGCAGAAATAAGGAAAAGGCTTTTTGTAGTAAATTGGGCAGCACTTCGTGGTCTTCAATGCGGCTCCATTGTTTCAGTCCTCAAGCCCTCCTTTTATAGTGAGTGATTTCTACGTGAACTGCCTCTAGAAGTACAATTGAGGGTCAGAAAATCCAGGGAGTCGTGTTTCTGTTTTTGGGCTTCTGCTGCACGTTCTAAAAAGTGGACGTTGAGCTGAATTTGCAAGTGTGACGGTCGTAAGGGGTGCATGACGCTCGTGGAGCTCATGACGTTCGTGACGTTCATGACGGTCGTCACACACGTGACGGTCGTAAGGGACCTGTGACGACCGTCATATCAGCAAAATTCATTTCTGTTACTTTTTCGTCTTTTTTCTTCTGTTATGTGTCTTTTAGTACTTGTTTTCCTTGTCTTGCTTCATTTGAGTGTTAACTTTGTAAACCTGCAAAATACATAACAAACAATGTAGAGAAGGTCCAAAATCGGGGTGAAATCGACCATTAGTAGTATAAAATCATGGCATTTAATATATACGTTTTCGCGTTATCAAATTCCCCTAAACTTGAATCTTTGCTTGTCCTCAAACAGAAAGTATAAGAGCTGAGACGATGCAACTACACGATGCGTTCCTTTGTGTTTTCAAAGTAGCTTCAGAGGTGCCGAGTCAGGAATTCGGAGGAGATTTATGACAACACGCATATGACAGTGACACTAAGCGGTAATGCTCTCGAAGGCCTCCTTCTTACACGAGCCAGTTCCAATCATGCCGCTGTAGCTCGGCGTTAAGTTTATCATACCAAGTTTTACCCAGTTTCGTTCCAGCGCAATCACATTAAGCCCTTTACCTGTTTGCGCGCACGTAGTGGAATAGCCTGTTAGTGATTTCAGTCTTTTCTTTCTACGGGGCCTGGTGCACGAGTGCGGTACCCTATGATATGTTCACTTCGTAAGTTGTGGGGGATCGAACCGTGATTCGCCCCACCGAGTCCATAACCAGAGACCTATGGACCAACTGATAGAGAACTTCTTTTCTTTTATGAGCTTGCTTTTTTTTCTTTTTGCTATTCCGAGATATCAGAGGTAGATAATCACTACATGGCTGCGGAGTAATTCTTTTCTTTATGATCTTACCGATCACTTATTTGCATCGGCTTTCCACGTGGTACACGCTTAAGGAGGTGCTGACTGCTCGTATAAACTACTAAGGGCTTCGCTTGGTGTTCAAACCTGAGGCTTCGGTACAGTAGGTAGTGGAACTGACTCAGATAAACCGGAGGTCTAAGGTGTCAAAGCGGTATGGGTATCGTTAGCAATCGTTCTCGATTTTCC